ACCTTTGGTCTCTCTGTTGCCTCTCTAATCAATGCCCTCTTTGCCCGGTCTGTGAGTTTTGGTGGTCGGCCCTGTCTTGGCAGGTTTGTTGTGGTCCCGTGTTGTTTCCATTTGGTGATTATGGATTTGATGGTGCTCCGGGGGATCATCAAAGATGTAGATATTTTTTTATAACCCAGTCCTGACTTGTATCTCTCTATAACTTTGTCCCTGACTTGTTTGGAGAGCTCCTTGGTCTTCATGATGTGATGCTTCTTGCTAAGTGGAGTTGCAGCCCATTGGGGCCTCTCAGAAAAGGTGTGTTTATACTGACACATCATGTGACACTTAGATTGAACACAGGTGGACTTCATTTAACTAATTCTGTGACTTGTGAAGGTAATAGATTGCACCAGCGCTTTTTAAGGGGCTTCATAGCAAAGGGGGTGAATACATATGCACATGCCAATTTTCACTTTTTTATTTCTTTAAATTATTCTTTTATATATATTTTTCTCATTTCACTTCACCAACTTAGATAACTTTGTGCAGATCCATCACATGAAATTTTCAGATGAAAAACATTTAAATTACAGGTTGGAATCTAACAAAATAGTTAAAAAGCAAAGGGGGGTGAATACTTTTGCAAGGCGCTGTATATATAGTAAGCATTTGCCAATGCTAATCTTGAATATTTGAGAAAATCTAAATTTACATTAACTGTCACTCTATAGTGAATTAGAAATGGCTCACAAGACGGTTTACAGTCTCAGATTTTATTTGCACATTTCAAAAATAACAAAACCAGCCTGAAGAATGATGTGAAAAACTAACTCTAACCTGAAAAGGCTGGAGGCTGTCACTGTAGTGGCAGGTGTGGTGGTGGTAGCAGCAGCAGCTGCAGTTGTGGTGGCTATAGCATAAGTTGCGTTGCTGGTCACGGCAAAGAAATTCAGCACAGTTAACTGCTGCCTGCCTTTAATCTCCGACTTGTGACTATCTGACAGCATGTGTGATTTCACCGCATTGACGGCCATTGTGTTTGAAGATCTTTTTGCACACGCTGCAAAACGCCTCTCCTGGTTTACTGTCGACAGGCTTTAAACAGGTTCTGAATAGTTCCTCATCCAACCACTTCTGCTGAAACTTGCATTTTCCCATTTTTCCGACATTTGCTAATATTCCCTCCGCTCTTTCGCCACAGCATGAGCACGCTCACAGCACGTTGCATTCCAAGCATCTGGTGTTGTGACTCCGTGCACCGGCCGTAAACAATAGCCAATTAAAGGGTTCCGCCTGTCAATCATCACATTAATTAAATTAAAATTATTAAATGTTTATATAATCAAAATAAATCGTGAATAACAATGTTTTTTCCATCAAGTGTATTTCAATTTTTATTGCCTCTGGACATCGAATTTAATGCTTTTTAATGCCATTTAAGGCCTTAATTTTTGCAAAATCTATTTAATGACTTTTAATGCTTTTTAATGACCCGCAGAAACCCTGTATAGCAAAGTGATTTATCTTTTTATAAATGACAAAAGGCACATCTGCCTCATTTTCGCTGTGGTATCGTGATACTACTCAGAACCATGATATTTTCACTGGTATCGTACCGTGGGTCCCAATTTTGGTACTGTGACAACACTAATCTGGAGGGGGTTCATCTGCAAAAACTAATTAAAAACTAAACAACAGTATTCGGTACTCGGTATTCGGCCAAGCGTTTAATTTTATTCGGCTTCGGCCACAAATTTTCATTTCGGTGCATCCCTAATAATCAGCTGATTATTTAGTAATGACAATAGTTGTTACTTGATAATCCAATGATCTTTAAATTATTTTAAAAGAAGAAATCCCCCAAAACTCACTCAAATGTCAGCATTTGCTGATGCCTCAGTCTTAAATGTTTTAGACTGTTAAAGCAAAATCTTGATGGACTTTTTTGTTTTGTTACTATTTTCTAACAAAACAATTAACTGATTAATGAAAAAACTAACTGCTAGAGATTGCAGAGATGCTTTTCAGCTATAACCAAGCCTGTGAGCTAATTTTACCTTCAATCCTCCCAAACAGTTCTAAACCAGTAATAATGCTTTAATGCCTACGTAAGATCAGTTTACATTACACAATGACAACAACCACTGAGGGATTTAATGCTATCAGTAGCTGCCCACAATCACAGTGCTAACTAAAGTGTGGAAGTGACTGATAAAGATTTTCTACGTGAAAGTAGGGCTGCACAACCAACTGTATGACGAACAAAGTTAATGTTGGACTCATTTTAAATGAGGAGGTGAAAACAGCTGGCAAGTGTTTTCTATCTTAAGTTAACATAACTAATACTCTCAATAAGAGAGATGAGAGAGATGAGAGAGATGAGTTGTGATTTTAACTGTAAAGATTCCTCCCTGTGGTTGGAAGTGAGAATCTCTGAGCATACCTCCTCCTAAGACTCTGACCTGCCCAAACTGGCAGCAGTCAGAGGAATGTATGCAAGACAGTAAAGGAACGAACTCTGCCGACTGAGGAGCTTTAGTCTGCAGTCACATAAACGTGCCTGAGCAGGGTCCATAAAGCTGCTCAAAAATGTCACTTGCTCTTCCTTACTATTCCAATACACAAGTTCTGGCACATGGAGGAACCATTAAGAAGCATCTTTCAAATATTAATATGCACTAATTTAACCTCAACTGGTTGCACAGATTTTCAATGATCAAATTTCCCTTTAAAAAAAAGATACATTTGCTTATGAAATTTGAATACGGTTTATTAGAGGCAAGTTCCCCAGTACCTTTGGATAATAAGAACATGACTTCAAAGATCATTCAACCTTTATGGAAATGACTGTGCAGACCCAGTAGAGAGGATGGGTGGGTCATAAAACAAAACACTGCAGCAAAGGAGTCCAGACTCATTTACTGAATATTCCTTTGATCTCGCATTGCACTCCACTGTTTTGCATACCTAAATTTGATATCCGCAAGAGACAAATTTTGGATCAAGGCTGTTTGTGATGACAGCAGAGGTGTTGGAGGAGGAGGGGGCTTTAGACTGAATGCATTATGTAACTGCTGGCATTAAACTCCATGTCACTCTGGTGAAATGTCAAGAAGGTCCTCTTCCCTTATCTTTAGGTAGAGTCTTCGTGTACATGGCTGGAGTGGCAGGAAGTTGGTCTTAATGAACGATGTTCATGTTTTTTTTTTTTTTTTTTGGCACACCACTGTTAATCCCTAAAAGGAAGTATGACTTCTTGATTGACGTCTTAAACTTGATTGTGTGTGGTTTGTTTTAACAGTTCAAATGGGCTAAAATTAAGGAGTTGGTCAAAATTAATATAACAGGCCTTGTCAAGTGTTGTCATCAAAAACATCAACATTAAGACATTTCAGGATTGCACTGGAATCCAATGTGACAGGAACACCCCACCCAACCCAACCAAACGGGAAGAAGCAGCCTTTAACAGGGAACTCGCTGAAGTGGACAGAAAGCTAGTAGCTTAAATCCACATGTACAGAGGAGATGCACAGGAGGCTGGACTCTTAATGATGTTTACCTCTTCTGTCTGGGCCTGTGATTCTTCTGTGTGAATCTATTTTAGTATTAAACACTGACAAACTGCAGGGCAGCAGCACTACCTATGCAGTCTCTTTTGGTCTCTGCTGGCCTGGTATAAAGAGTAAATATCAGGTAATAAAGAAGTAGATAGATATTATGTGAACAAAAGAAATATATTTTCCCATTGTGATAAATGTGCTACATATGTTATTACTTGTACGTCAACGTAACAAATTACAGCTTTTAAAAATCAGTGGAAATACATAACACAATATGTCCTGGAAAAAAGCGATAACACGATTATGGCCTTTGGCCAAGGCTACTGAACCAAAATGTCCATAAGTACAGCAAGTCAAGATTGCAGCTGTCAAGAAGCTAACCGCAGCTACCACTACGATACAGCAGTGCCTTACATGTCATGACTGTGAGCTAGCTAATGGTACTACTGTCATGTCTTCAAAAAGCCGCCACCTCTTCTGACAGCGTACCGGTGTACGTTAACGGCAACACACTGCTAGCTGCAGAAGAAGTTAACGAGCTTGTGTGGTCAATTGAGTTATACTCAACAATGCGGCCTCAACTTTTCTTGGTGCCGACCCTCTCATACAGGGTGGGACTGAAGAAAGAGACAAGATGCTAGCTGGTTCGCTGAGAACAATTCAGCCAAGCTAACCAGAGCCTGCGGCTAACATTAGCCTGACAAGTTATTATCAGTCAACGGAGAGCAGGAGGGAGATCTAAACTGGTGCAGCGACGCGCGCCAGTCAAGGTTATTCTAGAAACGGTGTTATCGGCTGCTCTTGGAACTGAGGTCACTTACCTTTTATTTGATGCAGTGGTGATTTCAGGTGCCTTTGCAGCAATTGCGTCCGTTGCTTTGCGATCCCGTGGAAGTATGGCGAACGAGAGAACGGCGCCGCCCCGCGCGTGAGCTTTGTTTTTTCTGGGATGGCGAAGGCACGACCCGCCCTGCTCTGCCTCTGATTGGCTCATCCTGATATCCTTATCCTAACTCTAACCAACCTCACGCCTCATGACTAAGGATAACCAATCCAACCAACGACGGCAGGGAGTTTTAGCCAATCAGAGGTAAAGTAGGGCGGGTCATTCCTTCGCCATCCTAGGAAAATAGCCGGGCGTCCGGCAACAGGTCCGCGCACACTGCACGCAAGTGATGTGTGGCGCGGTGCCGCGCACCACCAAAAATCACATTTAATTTGTTGCATTTGTGCAAATCCCTAAAATACAAGAAATCTTACTATGCAAACGACCTGCTCGGCTATGTAGAAATATACAACTTAACAGACGCTGAAAATATTATGGTTTACTCTCGACTGAAGACCAAATAACTTTGTTTTGTATTATTTATGATTTCTATCTTTATTTATTTAAATTTGTTTCTGTAAAGTATTTTATTTTTTGTCTTTATTTTGGCTGACATCCTGTTTTTTCTACTCTGTTTCATGCCCATTTATATTGTTAATAATGTTAACATTTAATAATCAATATGTGTAACTTCTTTAAAAACGTAAACAACAGATGCACTTTTTGTAATTGTGAAGGAGAAACAATTAAACATGTGTTTGTAGATTGTTTTCATACCACTTGTTTAGGTTTGATTTACAAAGAAACTTTTCAAAACAATTTGAAAAAGATGTCACACTAACATTGATAACTACACCTTCTTAACAATCTCAATTTCTCAGTTGATAAAAAGTACATAAGCAACATATTTTAGCAAAACACTATATACATAAAATGATTAGGCTTAAAAGACTACCATCCTTTCATATTTTTAAATATACCAATTCTAAAGTATTGTTGACTACTGTTGAAAATTTAAAACTCAAAAATTGTAAAATACTAACCCTATTTACACATGTTGGTTTTATTCCATTTACACATTTCTGTTTAGCAGACCCTGGAGGTTTCTGTTTTCCATGTTTCTTTGGTTTCACTACATATTATTTATGTTGTGCAATTTAATTAATTTATTTTTTTTACATTATGTTGATATTAAATATATTTTCTACAACTTTTATAATGCAAATCTCGAATGTACATACTTCATGTATTGAATGTATTCATCCCTTAAACAGAGTGAGGAGGAGACTATGTAACTTTTACACAAAATAACAGAATCTTGCAATTACAAATGAAAATCTGTTACAGCCACCTTGTCTGGTATAACCACCAGCAATGGCAATTATTGCAAGAAATTTTTGGTAGATGACAGTGTAACTTACATTACTCTTCTGTACTTTAGCATCATCATTTCACATTATCCCTTTATAGTGACACACATTCAGCAAAATGGCTTTGCTTTTAATTTACCTACAACAGCACATTTTGTCACTGCTGACATCTACACTGCTAAAGCTAACCTGACTGATGTATTGAGAAATATACACAATCAAAAATATGACAATTGTGTTTTCATTTGGTCACATTTGGTTTTCATTCATTTTTTAAAAGACATGTTTTCACAGTGAAGAGCAATTGCACTTTGTCTCTGGAAGCGAAACATCTCAATAAACAACCACCAGAGACGATTCAATAAAACTATTTATATACAAAACCCTTGTGATATATGTCCATATGTCAAGTATACAGTACCAAATGACAAAACTGATGTACATGAACATTTTACATTTTTAACATTACATTGGACAGTCTGTCAACTACTGAATCATGTTTACATGATTTCATTACAAAAAAAAAAAAAATCAATCATGTTTGCAGGTAAATGGCAATTTTCCATACATTTGGAGAAAAGCACAGGAGCTGGTGGCCTAGGAGAAAAATCCTCAATACATAAAACTGCCCCTGAAAACATGGCTACAAAAATACTGAGAAATATTAAAATCAAAAGAATATAATGGTCCATACAGCAAAATGGCTTAAAAACACAACAAAGTGTAATAAGATCCGATCCATCACATCTGATCAACCAGATTTAACAAAAAAAAAGGGAGTACGAAGGTACGCAGAAAGGTACGGCAGCAGCATCTCTCTCAGCTCTTCTAACTGGTGTCCATCTGAAACTAGAAGATGACAAACATCATTATAAAATAATAAATAAATAAATGTCCACAGAATGGTCAAATATAGGAGAACAAAATCTTACAACACAAGTATACACCTTGGCATTATAAGCATCCAACTGGGCATCCAGCTCCTCTGCAGAAAGTTGGGGTCTGTTTCCTCTACCTCTACCCCGACCTCTGAAACCTCCACTGCCGCCACCTTGCCTCCTCTCACTCCTTTCACTCCTGTCACTCCTGTCACTCCTTTCACTCCTCTCAAACTTGGGCTGTCCAAGCCTGCTGCGGTCAAACCCGCTGCTTGAGCTGCAAAAAGTCACAAAGATTTTTTTAAATATGACCAAATCTTTAGAGTAAATTAAAGAGTTACTACACAGAATTTTCCTAAGAAACATTATATAGACTCATACAAAAGTAATCTCTCTCAATCATCACTCATGACCCACTAGAAATGTGTGGTGATGTAATTATCTGCAGAGACTCTGCCCTCTGCTTGAGTTTTCAGACTTTCTTTTTATTCTACTGTGTTTGGGACGTCTCTGGGCACAGCACACAGGTGAGGATGGGACTTAATACAAAGGTAGCGACCAGATGCTAGACTACTGTATGTACCACGCATCCAAGAGGAAGCTATAAGATAATGGACATGACACAGAAAAAAAAAATATAGTGAATGAGTGAATCCCTGTTTGGCTTTCACTGCTGATACTGTTTTACTAACAGTTGATCTCTGCATTAAGGCTGCCCCCGACTAAGAATTTTCCTAGTCGACCAATAGTCGTCATTTAGGGCCATTAGTCAACTAGTCGCCCGTATGTTTGTGATATTAATTTAATTATTCAATTCTATATTTTAAGCAGGGCAACACATTGGTTTGAGTTCAAGGTCTGAGAAAGAATAGTATCAGTAACATTGTTAACACTGTGCTTCATTACAGAGAAATACAAAATCTTACTGATGAACCTTCATTAATATAGGCTTATATCTTATCTACATGTGCACGTCACACACTGAGCGAGCTGCCTGTTAATTACACTGTCGGCAAAGCAGTAATGATTGTGCTACATGGCTAATGGACATGTAGCTACTCTCATGTTTCAGTTGATGCGTCATGTCTGTAGTCGATAAATGATCAGCTAAAGGTTGCCTGCAGAGTTAACATATCACCTTGGATTCGTCCTTCACCTTCTCAAAATGATCCAACACTTTGGATTTCTTGCCCGCCATGTTATTAACTAGCCTTTGTAATGCAATATCTGATGATTATAAAGAGTGTCTCAACTCTGATTTTAAGAACCCAGAGCAATTTTGGAACAAAATTAAAACTATTATTAATACGGCAGATAAACATTCTGTAAATCAAATAAGAGTTGACAATAAAATATGTAATAGTGACTCTTTATCTATTGCCCAAGCATTTAATCAGCATTTTTCCGCTGTCTACTCTACCTTATTACCAAACTCTAAGCCGACTACTGGCTTTTTTAGAGATGTATCATCTTGCTGCAGTACTTTTTCATTTAGGAATATTTTACCAACTGAAGTTCAGAATGTCATTAATGAATTAAATGTGAACAGTGGTGCAGGTCTTGATGGAATAGAACATAGGTTTATTTAACTCGCTTCCCACATTTTAATGTATCCACTCGCTGACTTGTTCAACCTTTCTTCATCACTCCACTGCATAAGGGTGGTGAGTTACTTGATCTTAACAACTACAGACCGATATCCATTATTTGCACTATTGCTAAGGTCTTTGAAAAAATAGTTTATAATCAACTTTCACATTATCTCAGTAGCAACAATATCTTAAAACAATTTCAATCTGGCTTCAGGTCCAACCACTCCACAACTACTGATCTTCTTAAGTTCATGAGTGATGTGCTCTCTGCTGCAGATATTGGTAAACTCACAGGAGCAATCTTAGTTGATCTAACTAAAGCCTCTGCCTTTGGCAATCTATTGGTCTTAGTAAAAATCCACTTTAAGTCAACTCATATCTTCATAGTAGAAAGCAATGTGTTGTCCTACAGGGCAATAGATAAGACCTTTTAATACAACAAAGAGGTGTGCCCCAGGGCTCTACCTTGGGACCACTGCTGTTTTCTATTTATATTAGGCATGTAACGATATGTCGAATTTCGCGGTGTCGCGATAAAATAAATTCTCGATACCGTCGTGGGAATACCACGGTAGTTATATAGCTGCGTTCTCCTACAGAGCCGGTAATATGACTGTGCGACTACATTCCCCTTAATACTTTGCATGCAACTGCGCGCGCAGGTGAGAGCAGACTCGTGCAGCTCAGCCTCTCAGCCTCCGACTCTGACCCGTGCGTGACGGGAGGAAACAGCGAATAAAAGTAAGGAGATTGATTGTTCTTCTCTGTGGATTTTCTCCGCGACCGTTCGTCATAGTGAGAAGCCACACATATCACGTGAAACAGCGGAATCGTGGCTTTCCGACAAGACCAAGCACTTGTCGGTAGTCCAATGTTTTCATAGCGAAAACAAATGATAAGTTTACACTAAAATAATGTATAACAAAGCTTTCATACAGCTTTGCACACACATTACTTTTGGATGGATTACTCGCGAATGCAGGGTCACACAGAAATGCCATGCATATCACATGAAAGCGCAGGACCAGAGTGTGTGTTTTGTTGTTGTTGCAGGGTCTGATTGTTCTAAGTTCTGTATATATGATGAATATAAAGACTACTCTATCCACATAATTTGATGTCATTCAGATGACTTTCTTGTAATAGTACTACACTACTTTTTTTCAGAGTAGTTTAAAAAATATTGAATTTTTCCATTTTCATATTCTGTCACTATAGTTTTAATTGACATGACTTTGTTATGGCACTTTAATGTCTGCCTGCCTA